CTGTCGCGAGCACCGATTTGCGTTTCGGGATCACAGGTCAGCGCATCAATGATTGCCAATTCGGTTTCGTTTTGATCAATGCTTTTACTCTCATTAACAATACAAACACAAGCCCACACAAAGGATACAACTACAATTGCCAGCGCAATCCAGAAATAATGCCAGCCCATAATATCTCTAACACAATCATAAATGCTATCATGCTATAGGTGAGGGCATACGACCTGGTAGATGTAGTCTGGTTTCCGGCTTCGCAGGGTCGAGCTGCGACTTTGATGTCTCGGTAGTCAGGATCAGGTACAGTGTGTCAGCATCTCGGGCAGAGCTTCGGCAGAGCTTCAGCAGAGCTTCAGCAGAGCTTCAGCAGGTCATCTTGACGGAGTCGTCAAGCGACGTCATCTGTCTGTAGTCTTCTCCTTTTATACCTTAAATCATCTCTAATCTAATACATCCATATGTTCTATCTAAGTTAACTCCTCAACACTCTCCATTACCTCACTTCAAACTCTTAATCGGGGGTCACAGCAATCACGTGTCACAGCAAATGTCGGGGGGAGTCTCACACATGTCACAGCAAACTCTTATCTGTCTTAACACTCAGCATCCAGGCTGTCAGCTTCCAAGCTGTCAGCTGGCTGTCAAATTTCACTTGGTTTCACTTTAGTTTATTTTGCTTAATTCTGCTTTTTGTAGGGTTACAAAGTCCTATGTTTTACATGCTCAGTACAGTTTCAGAGCAACAGTACTATTTCTCTGGTACCAAAATCTGTCTTAGTCACTTTGCTCATCACTGAGACAGAATACGTGACACATACAATTTAAAGGAAGAGATTTGTTTTGGCTCATGTTCCAGTCCATGGTCAGGTGTCTGCAATGAAACAGCATGGCAGAAAGTTTCTCATATCATGGTGGCCAGGAAGCGGAGAGAGAATGGAGGATCCAGGGAAGGAGATATGCCCTTCTGGGTCAACCTTCTGTGACCTGCTTCCTCTTACCAGGCCCAGTCTCCTAACAGCAAGTCAGCTATAGCACCCGCATGGTCCAGTCATGTTCCACAAGCCCTGCCTTTAGGTACTGGAGTCTTTTTTGGTGGTGAGGGACTTCTAGATATAAGCCATAACACTCAGGAAAAAAAAAGCAAAAAGTAACAAATAGGTTTAAATAAAACTATTAAGATTCTCTGTAGTTAAGGAACAATCCACAGAGTGAAGAGACAACACACAGAATGGGAGACAGTATTACCCAATTACAGTATTTGTCTCACAGAGAATCTATATCCGGAGAAGATAGGAACTCAAAAAAGTTCATATAAAACCAAGTAATCCAGTTTAAAAGTGGGAAAATAACCTGAATAAATACTTCTCAAAAGAAAAATACACACCAGCAACAAATGTAAGAAAAAAAAGGGTGGGCTATGGGGAGGGCAGGGAGGGAGAAGGTATTGAAGGTGGCAGGCTGGGGAGATTGCACTTGTGCAGCTGGTAGACTGGCAGGAGGATATGGCCATGCAGTCATGCTCATCTGACAGCATGGAGGATTATATCTTTATCTCTAAAATGTAAAAACTTTTGCTGGGGCATGTCTTGGTATTGATGTTCTCTATGGAATCTTCTCAGTCTCTAGTCTCATTGTAATGAGTAGGATGAATATCACTGTACATAAGTGTATGCAAATCTCTGATATTTCCTCAGAATGAATGGGGAGCTCATTCTTAGCCCAGTCCCAATGAATGGACAGCAAATTTTGGATGAACGTATACGTGAGGAGATTAATCCACAGACTGAAGGACATATCAAAGAAATTGTAATCACACTTCAGATGAGGACAGAAAAAAGCAGATACTTCCCAATTTGATTTTTAAAAGGTATTAGGACAGGTAGTATTTGGAAAGGCTTTCTTAGTTTAAAAAATCTCAGGCCCTGATGCTAGATAATTTTATGCCTAAAGGTATTACAGAAGGCCATGCTTAAAGTTTGAGACTGTTTGGACAAAAATTGAGTGAGATATCTTGGTAGACGTTAATCCCTCTTTTTGTGTTTTTGTTTATTTTGCTTTGTTTTGTTTTTTGGTACCAGAGATCAAACTTGGGTCCTTGCGCTTACGAAGCAGGTGGAAGAATCACTGAGCTAAATCCCTGGCCCCTAATCCTTCTTTGATTGCTAAATTGCATTATGTTTATCAAATTGAAAGGAAGTTGTCTTATTTTGATGTTTCTCAGTGGAGGAGACTTGTTTACACATTTATCTAAAGAGGTGATTTCAAAAGATGTCAGGTTCTAGGTGGCTGAATTTCTACTTGCTTTAGATAATCTACATAGCCTGGGAATAAAATATAAGAACTTGAAACCAGAAAACGTATTCTTGGTTAAGAAGTTCACATCAAGTTAACAGATTTTGCCTTAAGAATGTATTAATATGGGGCCGGTGATTTATTTGGATCAGTGGTGCTGCACCTGCCTGGCAAGTGCAAGGTCCTGAGTTTGATTCCTGGTACCAAAAAAAAAAAAAAAAAAAAAGAAGGTATTAATCATGAAAAAAATAGCATATTCTTTTTGTAGAATTGTAGAGTATGTGATTATCTTTTGGTGAGTTAATGTTTGGAATGTTCATTGGTACACTACTTTTACCAAAAAAAAAAAAAAGATAAATAAGAACTATAATTCTTTTTGTTTGTTTTTTAAGTTTTATTGGTACATTTAAGATATACAATGTAATGACAGTCATCATTGGAAATTTACACCTCTACATAATCCATCTCAGTTCTTATTTTTTCCCCATTCCTCTGCCCTCCCTTCAACCCCTGTACACCTGTCTACAAAGACTTTGTTTCCATTTTTTTCTTTTTCTCACATTAAATCCATTCCTATCTTTCTTTTCTCTTCCCCCTCATTTTACCTTCCCAATTGCACCTTTTCTTCCTATTTCACAAATCTTAAATTTATTGTTTAGAGCCACAGTTTTGGATGCCACAGTTTCTGAATCCTGAAAACAGAGTCTTGTATGAATGCTTTCAAACAAAATTCTGAAAATTAAGGTGGAGAACAGAATGGAGTTGAAGAAGTTAGAAGGCATTAATTTTTCATCAGCAGTCTACTGGAATAAATTTATAGAAGAGAAATTCATTCATCTTTTAAACTTGCAACTAACAGGCCTGAAGATATATATTATTTTGATTCTGAGTTTATTGCAAAAACTCCCAAAGATTCGCCTGGGATTCTACCTATTGTTAATGAACATCAACTTTTTTTTGGGGGGGTAGTTTTGTTGCTATAATCTCAGGTAATGAAAGCCAAGCTATGAAGATAGTTGATGTACATTCAGTAGTTCATCAGTTACATGGGAACAATATTTAGTTTACTGATGGATATGAAGTAAAAGAAGATATTTGAATTGGTTCATGCTTTGTTTGCAAGGGATGTATATATCAAACCACAAACAAACCATTTGCATTAAAGATTATTGATAAAACCAAGAGAGACCCAACAGAAGAAATTGAAATTCTCCTTTGCTGTGGAAGGCATCCAAACATTTATTACTCTAAGGATGTATATGATGGGCAGAAGGTGTATGTAACAACAGAACTTAACAAAGGAGTGACTTTCTGGATAAAATTCTTAGAAATTTTTCTCTGAACAAGAGGCCAGTGCTGTCCTGTTTACCATAATCAAACAGTTGATTATCTTTATGTGCAAGAGGTGGTTCACAGAGACTTGAAACCAGAATCTAAATCTATCTGAGTTTGTGATTTTGGCTTTGTGAAGCAGCTCAGAATGGAAAGCAGTCTTTTCAAGACTCCTCGTTACACTGCAAATTTTATTGCACTGGAGTTTTTCAAATGCCAGGGCTATGATGCTGCTTGTGTTATATGGAGTCTTGGAGCCTGATACAGTGGTTACAGGTCACATTCCATTGGCACAAATAGGTAACAGAAAATTCTCACTCCGTTTTCCAGAATTCTCACTAGAATTCTGCACCACATCTAGTAAAAGGTGCCATGGCAGCTACATATTCTGCTTTAAACAATAACATCACCAGTTTTGGAACCTGTAGGCCACTCTACCCTTGCTCAGGGGAGAGATATTTTTTAAAATCCCCTCAACATCCTGGTGAAGAGACCCCAGTGAGAGATTTGGTACCATAGTGTAAGATGATAACACATACTCTGGTGACAGGTAGCACATATCTGAGAGACACCTGCAAGTACACACTGTCCAGGCTGTTACCTGTAATGCTCCTGCTGATTCTGTTTTTAATCTCTTCCCACTTTAAATGATTGTCAGCAAGTTGGATTTTCTTGAGGCTTCTGATGAAATGAAAATAATGAAGATATAGTCACTAAGTCAACAAGAAAAATAAACATATGAATGCCACCTAAAAATGCACTGATTAAAGTATACAATGTAGCATTATTTTTGTAGAAAAATGTCCTGTCCCTTAAATATTTTTTGTTAGTTATAGAGATGGACAGCTTATGCTAAGAATTTAGCTTAAACAATCTATTTATAGTAGCACTATATCCCTGTAACATCCAAATTTTTTTTGTATTTCTGTAAACAGTTCATACACAGTACATTTTTTATTGCTTTCATTAATATATGTCATGCCTTTTAAAACTTGGATTCTATTATTAATTGATGATTAAATCTCATTAAATGATTCACTGGATCAACAATATTGTTGAATAATCCTAAAAATGTTCAGATTGTGGAACAGCTGTTATTCAAGCTGTAACACTTTAAAAAATGTACATATCTTTCCCGTGTCTGTTTCACTGGTTTGATCATTCCTTCCTAAAGTCAGGTGTTCTGTGATACTAACTGAGAGAGCTCTTATGGTAGAGAATGTTATTGTATGTGTGTGGCATGAGATCAAGAATATACCTATGATGTTAATCTATATACTTTGCAACTCCTAAGAGTTATTCTTTTTATTAAGAAATTAGTCCTTATATTTAAAATTTTACACAGTGTCCATACTTAGTACTTGGCATATTATTTTGGATTTTGCTGATACACATTAGAGACCTTTAAATGTTTAAGAGATTGGTGAAAGAAAACTTAGCAACTGGTAATTTAAGCCCTATTGGATATTTCCTGTTTAAATTGATAGTCTGTATTAAACACTAAACTGAATGTAATAAAGGCCTCATACCTCTGTATAAACTTTCTTATTCTAGGGAGATCAAAATTATTGATTAAAAAAAGATTAGAAATCCTAAAAAATATGTATATCTCACTATATAGCTCAGATGGACCATGAAATTCTTGGAAATGAAAACATCAATAAACCAAATTTTAAAATTCACTGGCAAGCCTCATCAGCAGACAGAATCTCAAGGCTTAAAGATGAAATTAGTGAATAATATTTAGATAGAAACAATGAAAAAATGAGAAATTCTGAAAAAATGTAAGACCTCTGAAATATAATTTAAAAAACAAATATAAGAGTGTATTGAATGCAAGGTGGACTCATATGCAGTTTATAAGCATAGAAAACCAAATTCAGGGGCCAGGGATTTAGCTCAGTCATTGTGCCACCTGCCTCACAAGCGCAGGTCCAGAGTTTGATCTCTGGTACCAAAAAATAAAATAAAATAATAAAAAAATAAAGAAAACCAAATTCAGTGAAATAATAGCAGAAAAACAACCCCCCCCCTTTTTTTGAGACAGGGTCTCACTATATAGTTCAGATGGACCTTGAACTCATAGCTTCTGCCGCAGCCTTTCAAATTACAGGCATTTGCCTGAAATTACAGGCATTTACCACCACACCCAGCAGATTTCCCAGATCACTAGAAAAATTTGTTTATCCAGGTACAGAAGTTATTTAGACCTTCAAATAGATATGACTAGAAAAGAATCTTCCCACATCACATCATAAGTAAAATGTTAAGGGTACAGCACAAAAAATTCTGTTGAAAGCTGCAAGAGAAAAATGCCTAATCACTCAAACCTATAAGGTAAACCTATTTGAGTAACAGTAGATTTCTCAACACCAACTCTAAAGGCCAAGAAGAGATGGAATAATATAGTTCAAGGTATGAATGAAAATAATTGCCAATGTAAATTGGTATATTTAACAAAGCTATCCTTCAGAATTGAAGGAAAAACAAAACCTTTCAAAATAAGAAATTAAAGGAATTTATGACCATTAAGTCATCACTTAGGATATACCTAAAGAACACTCTATACAAATTAAGGGCATATTAACAAATGAGTGTAGGAAAACAATGGATCAGGCCTCATTAGATCTTCTAGCTAATCCTGACCAGAAGTTAAAACTTTTCTAGAAAAATTCCCATGGGAGATAAGTCAAGGGCAAGAATAGAAAGAGGGAAAGACCAGATAAATAAAGTCACCAAATGGCCTTGGGACCTGCACCAAGAGACCAGCGAGAGTAAGAGCTGATAGGCGGAGTGCAGAGAGAGCCACGTGCACAAAGCCAAGCTGAGGTAGCTGTTGCTCTCCATCTCCAATATAATACAGGGGAGATCTAAGGGTAGGGGGCTGATTAACTTTGGGAGAAACTCTTACACATATGTATTCACACCTATGCACTAACACACACATATTCACTCTAGGGTCACTATATTCATCATACAATTACAGAATATAATAGGTATCCACACACAACCCCTTACTAACTTTAAGCTAACCCTGAATATGGTATGCCCTTGCCAGCTAGCCACTACCCCAAAAATAAGGCTCTGAAAAGTAGGCAAGGGACAAATAAACAGACAAGGCAGAAAGAAGCTGAACATAGAGCACTGGAAGAGATGACATAGGCAGAGGTGCCCAAAAGCCAATTGGATTATAGCAAGTTCCAGGTAGAGAGAAGGGTCTCTGACCTCCTAAAAAAAGCAGTTCAGAACAAAGGGTTCATGAGTAACCACCCTTTTGGTTTCTCCTGCTTCAGTTCTTATCAGAGCAGCTATTCCTCTTTTCACCCCTTTCCGATAAAAGTTTTCTTTCCCTTAAAAGTTGTAACTTTAATGCTTTACTGATACTGAAGTTTATGATCCTGTTGAGCTGCTCACAGTGGAGCTGGGTACTTGGCCTACCCAGGGATGTGACATGAGTATTAGTATTATATCAAATACCATGAAACTAGCAAAATTTCAGGAATTAGTACACACTTTTCAGCACCAACCCTCTTAATTCTTCAATTAAGAAACACAGATTGGCAAACCAGATTAAAAACTAGGTCAGAGGATATCATGACAGTCAATTAGGGCATCACAACCACAGCGAGTGTTTCTGATTTGATGTTAAAGAAAAGCAGTTATCCTGAAGTGAGGACACACACACACACACACACACACACACAAACAAAAAAACAAAACAGATATGGGAGGATAAATGAAAAAATAAAATAATCCACTAGGACTAATATCCAGTGTTTAGCTGGTGGGAGAGGGTCATGGTACTCCACCCACCCCAGACTCAACATACTCTTGAGAAAAGACTGGCTTGAGAGAGAAGCAACATGGCCCTAAGTGCCAGCCTGGTGGGTTGAATAGATTCACAGTCACACTATCTTGCCCACTAGGTGAGGTGAAGAGAGATATTTCCAACCCAGAGACTCAACCAAGGCAAAAACATAACAGGTTAAGATTTAATTGCCGTGCACCTTCACACTCACCTTCAGGGCTGGCTAGTAGCAATCCAGTGCTTATGGGCAGTACTCCAGTGCTGGGAGCCAGCAGTGAGGAGAGAGAGAGAGAGAGAGAGAGAGAGAGAGAGAGAGACTGAGATTCCTAAACACAATGAGAATAATAAGCTGCCTATTCCTCCCACATACAATGGAAGTTCTGTAGTTGGAACATTCAGCACTCTATCTATGACTGTCAGTGAACTCCCACAGGGCAGAGGGCACCCCACCAATGCAAGAAGGAAGAACAAATTGTTTCTGTAACAGTTATGTGGAACAAAATCAGAGTGACCCAGGAACCAGTTGAGCTTTGAGGTAGAGCACTTTCCTGTTATTTCCATGGGCAAGTCAAACATCAAACATCAAATAGACATCAGCAGTGATCAGTATCAGGCTAGTAGCTTTTTGACTATATAGTAGGCAAGGAAAACCTGTGAAGGGAAGATACAAAGAAGCCCATATTTACCTTCCAAAACAATCAAAGTAGTTGAATCAGTGGAGGTCTGTGGGGGGCACGCCTGGAATTTGAAACCAAGGCAGAGAAGTTAGTAGGGAACAACAGTCCTCAAGGATTTAGGCAGGCAATTGTCTGGCCCACAGAGAAAAACTATGTGGCTAAATGAAACCAGACAGTGATACCAGTGTGGAGGGAACTGTATGGAAGCTCCAGGTTAACTCTGTAACAACAAACAGTGTTAAGGTTTTTATTCTTATGTCCATTGTTATTTTGGTAATTGCAGTTATTGTAACCTTGCTACTTTGTTGGATTTGGGCCATCCTTTTTTCCTTTTCACTCCCTGTTTTCATTTTTGTTACTCTTCTTTCTTCTGGTTCTTCTTTATTGGTATTAGTTGATCATAATAGTTAAGGCTTCAAGGATTTCCCACTTGACCTATTGTTATGGATTGTATCTAGATGCCCCCCCCAACTGCCTTATGTGGTCATAGGTAGGGAGGTTTGAAGGTGGATGGATTAGGGTGAGTGAATGTGGATTAAGGGTGCCCTACTCTGGGTATGGGTGGCACCAATCAGATTGTAGCCTGCATGGAATATAAAGGGAGAGGCAAGCTTACTTCTGCTACTGTTTGCTGCTTGTTGCTTGCTGCTCACTGCCTTCTGCTTGCCCTTCCACACCATGAACTGTTTCTCCTCTGTGATGCCTTTCTACCATGCCACCTTACCTTGGCGCCAGGTTACTATGGGCTGAAACCTCTACAAACTGTGAGCTAAATAAACCTTTCCTCGGGCTGGGGATTTAGCTTAGTGGTGTCGCTGCCTGCCTTGCAAGTGCAAGGTCCTGAGTTTGATCCCTAGTACCACCCCCCAAAAGACAAACCTTTCCTCTAAGACACATACTCCCTCTTCTAGTGTGTCCTCTTTCCTATCTTCTAACTTCTATCCTCTTAACTCTCTCCTGCCTTATTCATAGTTTTTCTCTACTCATCATCTGTGTTCCTTGCCTTCCCCATCTAATTGTATAAATATAACAGGGGGCTGTATAAGTGCATTAGAGAATAAGAACTAACCAGTACTATAAACAGTACCATTTAAAGGTATGTCAGAGTAATCCTTAAGAAAACTGGGCTTAGAGAAACCGTACAGAATACCTAGAAAAATGTTAACAGGCACCAACAATCTCATAGTCTCTCAATCTCTAAATATTTTTTCAAGGGCATACATCCTCTTGCCTACACAAGTAGTCTCCCAAACCTCCTCAATACTAGCCCTTTACCCTAGCTACCAAATAATTCCAAGGGAGTCCAAATTTCTATTTTTTTCAACCTATTGACATTTTCTCTTACCTTTCTCTTTTCCCATTGACATACCCCCTTCCCTTTATCCTTCCTCCCCACCTTCCCCATCCCACACCCCAGTGCAATACTGTCTGTAAGGGGTATTGATGAAAGACTAAAATTATCAAGACAAGTTTTAATATTTATGATTGGTATGTGCTGTGTTATAACCAGTAGAAAAATCTCTCCTTACAACACAGTGACATGGTCCAATACAGTTAAATGGAATGGGTTGAAAGGGTGGGTAGTATTACCGGACAGATAAAGCCAAGAATACATCACTGAAAATCAGAACCTAACTAAACACTAGAGACTCATATCAACAACAAACTCTCCACTCTATTTGACCTCACTCCCACATATGTGCATGTGCACATACGCATAAAGAAATGCAAAAAATCCAAGCAACAAAACACCCACAAAGACTCCAAACTCTCCCAAAGCTATTCCAAGGGAGAGAAGGGCAAACACCAGATAGCTGTGTGAGCTGTGTGAAATCATTAAAAAGGAATTATTAAAGGGGAAGAGGAAGGAGTAGGGGTACGGAAAAAGAATAAATATGAAAAAGTATAAAATGGAAAGAAAGTCTTTGAAAACAGGGAAGGGTGCAGGGGTTGAAAGGAGGGCAAGGGAATGGGGGAAAAATAAGAACCAAGATATATTATGTAAAGGTACAAATTCGCAATAAAGAATGTCAGCATATTGTATACCTAAAAATGTACCAATAAAATTAATTAATGAAAAAAAAAGAACTAAAGAAACTCAGAGAGTTCAAAGAGGACATAATCCCAAAAATAGTGGAATTAAAATACAAAATGACCAATGTGGATATGGAAGAAACAAATACAAAATTCAAGAGCTGACTGAATGGTTCAAAACATGAATGACAAGTTTCCCCCCCCAAAAAATCTGAAAGATAAAAGAATTCTGCAGATTTCAGAGATAGCAAAGTTGACCATTGCATGGACTGGGGATCTAGCTCAGTGGTTCCCTTGCCTGCCTTGCAAAATTGACCATTGTGAGAAGCTATGTCTGGAGAACAAAATGAAAATTCAAGAAAATTTACTCAGATAAACCATAAAAAGGATAAGAGAACAAGAAAATTTTATTTAACAGCCATTAGATGATGCTAAAAAGACTTACTTAAGAATACTTGGAAATAGAAATCAAAAGATAGCACAAATGGAATTTTAAAAATCTGTATACAAAAATCACAGCAGAAAAGTTTCCAAGTATGAGTAAAGAATGAAAAGTTTAAGTACATGACTAACTTTAGAGGTGCACTGGTTTGATTGTCCAGGTTTGGGGTGGATAAGTATAAGGTTTATCTTGAAATCTTAAATAGACAATACTATGTTGTATCCCAAGAAGGTGGGATACATTTTTATTTCTAAAGCTCAAGAAGAGCATCACTTGCTCATTGTAAAGGCCCAATGCGCAAGAAAACATGGCTTTGAGGGTGTAATGAGTCTTGCTTTTTTTTTAGAACCTCCTGTGTAATTGCTATGAAAAAAGAAGCTTTCTGTGGGACATCAGAATCTCAGATATCCAAGCAAACACAGAACCTTAAAAGCTGTCAGAGAAAAGCAGAGAAAAAAACAAAACAAAACACCAAAAAGCATCAAAGAAAATAAATGCATCAGGATTACAACAGACTTTTCAACACAAACTTCAAAGGCCAGGAAAGCTTGGAGTGAAGTGTTTCAACCCCTAAAAGAAAAAATTTTCAGCCCAAATAAATATATCCTAAAAAACTATCTGTCAAAATTCATGGAGAAATAAGGACATTCCACAACAAGACTATCTAAGAGATACCTGAACACTGATCCAGAACTCCCAGAAGTACTGAGAAATATCCTTTATAGAAGCAATGAAGCCAACAAAGCCAAAAAGTCAGATGGAATGAATACACCAAATAAAGCAAGTAGTTAAACAAAAAAGGAAAAATTAAAAGATTAGAAAACCTATACAATGACAGGAATAAGCCAATAACTTTCAGTAATAACTCAGTATGAATGTCCTCAACTCACAAACTTCAAAGACATGGATTTGCAAACTGGATCAAAAAACAGAATTTAACTCTCTGTTGCCTTTAAGAAATTCATCTAATGCAAAAAGAAATTCAGGTTTAAAAATTAAATGGTGGAAAAAATACTCCATATATGAGGACCAAAAGCAAGCAAGAGTAGCACTTTTATTCTCAGATGAAGTAAACTTCAAACAGAAATTGACCAGAAGAGGAAAAAAAATTTCACTATATATTAGTTAAGGGACCAATTCAACAAGAAGAGATAACAATTATGAATGTTTATGTACCAACCATTGGGGGCACCTAGTTCATAAAACAAACACTGCTGGAAAAAAAAAGATCAAATGAAAACCAATATAATCATGCCAGGGGACCTTAGTGCCCCACATTCACAGAGTGACAGATCAACTAAACAAAAAATTAACAGAAATATCAGAGTCAAACCACATCTTAGAATAAATGGAATTAATAGATATCTATAAAATATTCTATCCTAATACAGTAGAATACACATTCTACTCAGCAGCACATAGAACTTTCTCCAAAATAGACCACACACCAGTCCATAGAACCTGGTTATATAAGTAAAAAAGAATAAATATATCATATTTTATTAGATCATAGCACAATGAAACTAGAAATGAATTGCAGAAGAAAAAGCTCATAAATTTCATTGACAACTGAATGTTAAATACCTCAGTCTTGGGGCTGGGGATTTAACTCAGTGGTGCCACTGCCTGCCTCACAAGCGCAAGATCCTGAGTTCAATCCCTGGTACCAAAACAGCAACAACAAAAACCAAAAATAAACCAAACTCAATCTTGAACACTCAGTTGGTCACACAAGAAATCAAAGAAGAAATTAAATAATTCCTTGAATCAGGTGGTAATGTCAATACAATATACCAAAACCTAAGAGGAATGCTTATATTAGAAAAACTTACCTTGTTGAAATAAACAACCTAGTGATACACCTCAAGAAACTAGAAGAAGGTAAAGAACCCAAACCCAAACCTAGTACAAGCAAGGAAATCATAAAGACTAGAATATAAATTAATAAAATTAAAACAAAATAAGAATCGATGAATTAAAGTGCTGTTTCTTTGATAGAATAAATAAAATAGACACACCCTTACCCAAGCTTACCAAAAGAAGACTCACATCAATAATACTAGAAATGAAAAGGCGAAATCACAATGAACACTACCCAAATCCAGCAAATACTATGAAAAAATTGTACTCCAACAAA